CATGACAACTGGGTCAAACCTTTGCATGACTGCCCTGCAACTGGGTCCAGGGCACACCAGGGCAAGTGGAGACCCCCTGGTCCCTGCTTGCCTGGCTCCCTAACGCCACGGTGTGTGACAACCAGCACCAGCCAGGATGAGACAGGAATGGTGACCAGGTCACCTGCTGACACTGACCTCAGCTGACCTAGACTCTGGCGGGCACATTCTACTTTGAAAAAAACAGAGCTATCAAGATTTGCAGAAGGGAAAACAGACCATGGTCTTGGGCTGAGAAGTAGATTTGGGTGACAGACCCTCATTCATCTCACAAATACAAATGCAAAGGAGCTCCCAGAATCCTCCCTAGTTCTCCTTCTGCCGTCTTATAAGATATAAACTAAAAATTAAAAAAACAGTATTTGACAGCTCTGCCTGAGCCCTTTTCAATATGCTAATTACCCCAAACAGAGGGATGCTTTTGGGAGGGCTGGGGATCAGGCAGGAGGCCCCCTCACTGGCCACATGGGGAGTCTGCGCTCCTGACCTACCCTGTGACAACCCATAGAGATAGCAGTGCCGCCAACCTGCCCTCCGGGGCTGGAAATGTCTGTGGCTGGGCATATGATAACTTGTCTCTGCACCACTCCCTTATGTGCAGAGGGAAGAAGGCGATACTGCCCCGCTGTTGGAACCGGCACGCTCCCGGTCTCCCCTTGAGCCTACAAGCAATGACCCACCTCAGGGGCCCTTTTGTTGTTGTTTAAGGATCCATCCAGACACCCTTTACTTTGCTGGACGTTGTCCACTGGCTGTGAGGATGCTGGGCCTGCCATGGGTGGCCACCACAGGACACTGTCAAGTGGGGGCACCATTAATGATGATGCCAGGATGGCAAGTGTCCACTGGGACAGGTAGCCCCTGGCCCCAGGTGACTGAGGACCCTGGGGCAAACTGAGGCGGCCCGTGGATGCAGCTGGCTGTCCCTGGGGGACTGCACCTGACACCCTGTGTCCTCACTGAGGTGGGCCACATGTGGTCAAGGGGAAGCCTTGGGGTGTCAGTCCTGCCAAAGAGCCAAGTACATGGGTATCCCGGCAGGCGCAGGTCTGCAGTCCCTGGTGGAGACGGCTGCCTGGGCATGGGAGCCACAGCACTTCACACCATGGCTCCCTGGTGTCACAGGCCAAGGGAGAAACAGGAACAGCGCAGGGACAGAGCAGCTCGAGCAAAGAGCTTCTCCATTCAACTGGCTGTTTTGGCATCAAGGGGACACCAGTGTCGTCCCTGGGCAGAGGTGCTCTGGGAAGCAGTCACGGATTGGGGCTATGATGTAAGCCCTCACAACAACCCTTCCCTGCCCAGCTGCACAGTGAACAGTGCCAGCGAGTCAAGGCCTTTACCTGGGGCAAGACCTGCTCTGGGGGAACAGCACAACCTCTTGCTTGATGGGTCTTAGGACAATTTACAAATTCCTATCTTGCCTCCTCTTTATCCCTATGAATCCAGGAAGCTGAAAAGCCCAGTTGATTAAATTTTTTTTTTTTTAAAGACTCATTTAAGCTGATTCCAGCTCACGCAGGGCTGGGTCTTTCCAGTCTTAAAGAGCCAAATGAGGCCCAGCCAGGGCCCCGCAAGACCCCCTGCCCCGACCATCCAACCTTACTGGAAAAGCCTATCACCCCTGCCCCCAGCTGACCACAGCCTGGCCCCCGCCCACTGGGATGCTCACTGAATTGGCTCTTTGGCAGCCTGGCCCACACGCTGGCTTCTGGCTGCTCAGGCCTGGGTGGGGCTCAGTGTGCCCTCGTGCCCGCCACATGTGTGCCCAGGCCAGGCCAGCCTGGGCCGCCCCCCCCCCCCCCCCCC